GATCAAAATAATTTTTAGTAATAGAAGTACATATAAATTTATTTACCAAATTATCAAAGTAATTAAATAATTACAATAAAATAAATCTGAAAAGACATCTTGAACGTTTCAAATATTTTGATCAAAAGCAGCAGTCAATATTGCTACAGGGAAAACACATGATTCTCAATACTAAAAATGCCATTCTAAAATTCTCATTAAGTAACAAATAATGAATAAGAATAATATATATTTTTTTTTTTGATGTTAGGGCCCCTTCTATATATCATATATTGAAATGATATTCAGATAAAACATTTGCTGAAAATACAGTTGTCCAAGTTGCCTAATTGGGTACAACTAGGCAACATGTACAACAATATATCTCTGCACTCAAAAAGTGTCTCAACAAATAAATAATATATACATACAAAAAGCTGTATTGATTGGATTATCCAATAATTTCGTAACAAATTTTATTTTTGACTATTGACTATTTATCGAATTGTAATAATATATAAATAACTTACAATGTATTTTATTCATACGAGAAATACAAACTTCTTTCTTTTATATTGATTTAAAACATGTATAAAATGAACTTGTATAAATAAAAATTAAATCAATATGTTTTCCCCATAACAAATTATATAAAATTGGTTATCAAGCACTACTTGCCAATTAAATAAGTGTCTTGTATTATTTAAAATATAATAAAGATTTTTGCAAGTAATATTTGATAGCTTTTACACATATGTCTGCCAAATAAATCTAAAATCTTTTTTTTTATATAATAGTTGTTGTTGAATAAACAAAAGATGAGTTAGAATTTATGCATTGAAAAAAGCAACAATAATACCTGATTGAAAGAAAATATTTTGACTCAAATATAAACATTTTCAGCAGATATATGTATATAAATTAATAATGGCAAGAGCCAGAAAATATTTCACTAAAATATATACAGGCTGCTTTGGTTCATAAACTTTGTATATATATAAGTTCTTAAAGTATCTACCGATTTATTTCTCCATATATGTAGTTTCAATATATAATGATAAATATTATTATTATTACACTCATAAAAGGCAGCATGTAGTACAAACTCAATCTGTAATTTTAAACCCTCTTTAAAAAATAAATTATAAGTGATATCTTTTCATTTATTTCTATTCAAATTATAATTTAACTGAGTATTACAAAGAATTATATTCGAACAATATGTTAAATATTAAATATTTAAAATCCTATAAGTGCATTAGCTAGCTAACAGCTGTTGTATTAGATGTTGTATGATCATAAATGCCTGAATATAATTCAAGAAATATATTCTTTGACTCGCTTTATATAAAACATGCTTTGCACTCACATTTATCCGAATATCCTCTGCAGCTTTTGCCAGAACACAGAAGCTCCTTCTGGAGCACCTGCCAGAAACGTCTAGTACTCGACACAAAATCACTTCTTTATAAAATCACTCGAATACATATTTATTCTGTTACCGGATGAGTAAAGTCTTTGCACAATATACGACTCACATTAGAGACTTTTGTGAACTTAAAACTCGATTATAAATAGATATGAGGTGGAAATGTTTAAGCATAATCTACAAAAGCATACACATACATATATAAATTATACATTTGATAATTGCATATATAAATAAAGGATACACTGCCTGTAAGTAAAATATTTGGTTATAGAAATAATTCGAAATAGGGGCCCTGAAAAAGATAATTATGACAAATCAAGGTACGCCAAAGCACTTCCACACAAATCCATTTTTTGGCTTTTTATGACCGTTCCACGTTAAATTTTTTATATCAGATTGTTTTACTAAATTAATTACACCATTTGATGCACAAATTAATTAAATCTAATCAAGAATTTAATTAAAAATTCTTAATTAACGCGAGAACAAGTTCATTCACAAAATTCTTTTTGACAATTGTAATGACTGAAGTTAGCAAAGTGACCGCAGCGGCTACTTGTACAATTTAAAGCGCGAAATTCAAACAAAAAATTTAATCTTCGCAAAATCCATTTATATTCATCAAAATTTGTTCAAAGTGATTAGATTTGCTTGAAAATATAAAACTCTTTGCTAAAATTATTTTAATGTTTGATTTAAATTTTGTACTTAAATCAAACTTAAAATAATATTATAAATTGTATACCATAAAATCATAGCTGGGCACCGTTAATCAAAAAGTTAACTTCGTTAATCGTTAATCCGCTACAAAAAAAGTTAGCTTCGTTAAACGTTAAAGCGTTACATTTCGGAATAATTAACGCAAGTTAACGTTAATCGTTAATCCGTTAATATGTGTAAAATTACATTTTTATATTGTTGCGTTAGTGAACTTAAAAAACTTATTGGTTTAGGTCCTGGAAGTTAACAGGTTATGAATAAAACAAAATACTTGTATAATTCAAATGTGTAATTCAACCCCTTAATGGCGCGACGCGCTTTATGCACACACCGTGATAATAACGCTATTGGTCAACTTTCTGTTTTTATGATTGCATATTGTTTTTACAAGAATTTTTTTCTAAATAAAGGGAAAGAGTTTTTTTTGCGAAAAATAGGAAACGCGCGACGGGTTAAGCGTCGGGTATTAGGTGCATATTTCTCTTCATGAACATTAACATGTTGAAGTTCTCGTCTGAAAGCGAGGCTCGTTTTGGTGTCAAAATGTCTTTACCCGTGGAAAACAAACGTTCAACTGCAGCACTTGAGGGTATAGCAGTATTGTATTTAATAAATTGATTTATGAATATCTGTTCCCCGAAGAATGCAGCATCGTTGGTCCAAATCTTTTCTCTATGTCATTTAATAAGGCATTGGCTAAAGCTGTGCCGTGCGGTAAATAGTAATAATTGGCAGGGCCGTGCCTGGGTATGTGGCCGCCTGCGTGCGAGCATATAAATGGCCGCCCTTAAAAATAGCATAATAGGAAAATATCCAATATGTTGTTCTCACGAAAAAAATCGTCTTGTAATTTTCAAGTTTTCTCGACATTTTAAGTCATTCTGATTTTTGAATTTTCGGCAACGTTTTCTCAAAAACGGTTAAATCCAATTCAAAAGTTTAAAAGTCATTTGATGTAACTAGATAATGACTAGCGCCTGTCAGTTTTGTGCGACAATCGGCCAAGCTGTTTCTAATCAACAGAAAAATATAAAATTTATTGTACACGTTTTAGCCAAAAATTCTGCATCGATTTTAAAAATTCAGGAACTGTTTGAAAGATATCATTTAGGAATCGTGCTGATTACTTCTAAGAGATCGGTCGGTTCGTTTCTTCGTGTTTAATTCTTGAATATTGCTTTACGATGATATTTATAAAACTTTTTTGGCGATAGTCATCATGGTCTCTAAGATAACTAAATATTTCAACCCACATTAAGTCATTTTAATTTTTAAAATCTGTACTATCAAAGATTGCAAAAATGAGCGGCGCTTTTTTACGTGAGTCAAAATTTCATCTTTAGTGGACCTTTTCTCAAAAATGCACAATCCCATTTGAAAAATCGTCAAAATTCGTAAATTCGATAAGCACTCGTGCTGCTTAGTTTTGCCTTTAGAATTTTCAAAAAAGTCTCAAATTTTTAATTAGTGAATTGATTTTAAAAATTCAAAAACCATTACAAACGTTTTCCATTTGAGAATCTTGCTGATTAAATTTTGTCAATGATCGACGAGTCGTTTTTCAGTTATTGATTAACAAATTGCTTTGGAAATTTGGATCTTGTTTTTAATTTACTACAGTTTGTTTCTTGTTTAATAATATGTAATTTTTAAACTATTTATAAAACATAACTAATATTTTTAGAAAATTTGTACAAAATTGAATAATCTGCAATAGTTTTTCACATTGCAATGTACTCATGAATTAATATATTTTCATTGTTAAGTCGATTATTAACACATGTTGGATACTTCATGCAACTTGATTTAGGCAAAGTTGCCACTTACACCAAGTTTATAACTTATAAATTATTTAGAAACAGAGTCGCATTCAATAGGGCCGCCTTTGGCTGATTTTTAGTACGTAATTTTGGTCTTTTAGATATATACAGCGGACTTTACGGTAGCGAATGAGTTCAGCGGACTTTGAGCTTGGCCGCCTCTTAATCCAACAGTCTTTTAATTTGGCCGCCTTTTAATTCAGTAGACTTTTAATGCAACAGCTATTTATTTCGACCATTTTTTGTTATGGCCGTCTTTGAATTTGTTCTTTTTTTCATTTGGCCGCCCCTCGGCCGTCTCAAAAGGCGGCCGCCTGCGTGCGGTGCACGCACTGCACGCTGGCCAGGCACGGTCCTGGGCATTGGATTAACGATTAACGGACTTCTGGCATTTTAACGGAAGTTAACGTGTCCGTTAACATTTTCAAAAGTTAACTTAAGAGTTAATCCGTTAATCAAAATGTTAACTTCGTTAATTAACGATTAACGGATTAACGAGTTAATGCCCAGCTATGCATAAAATTATAAAAACTATTATAATAATAATATGTACAAGTTATCGAATCCTCAAATAATTTTATAATTTTATATATACATATATATATATATATATATATATATATATATATATATATATAATGTCTAATAATCCGGCAAAACATCAATAAAAAAACAAATTTCTTTTAAAAATTTATGTTACAATCCATACGTCTTTTGTACATGTTCATATGTCAACATGCAAAAGGCAAAATGCACTTGTCATTGAAGTTGACACAAAATCTCCGGAAAAGACTGATAACGCAAAACATTGCTTGAATATTTCCTTAGAACAAAGGCTTCTGAGCAAAATTTGTGATAACATTTTTCCTATAAGGAAAATAAAATATCCTTAATTATTTAAAAACATATTTATTTTAAAACTGCATATATCAATAAAGCCATATTTCTTTTTATCAATTACACAATTTATATTAATAAAAATCAATATCATAAAATTTTATCACAATAACATATTTATAAATCAATAACATGTATATTCATGTGTACGGACATTCTTTTATAACAGAAATAAAACTAGCAGTTCAAGGCAGCATTGAAAATTTTTCATTAGCAATCAATGTCGCTCATCCAATCGCCATTTTTGTTTTGCGTCTATTCTGGCATCGGGTACCAATTGACTTGTAACACCTCCCAAAACATGCTGAGTAGCCTGTGAAGCAATAACTAGTGGTGCCACAACTGTGGGTGGTAATTGCCTGAGTACGCCGCCAACTGCTCCGCTAACACCTTTGTGCGAATGCTCAACCGAAGCTACATGAACCAAATTAGAAGCCGTATCACCTAGGCCCTGCAATTAAAATATGGAGTCCAGATAATAAATGATTATGCAGTCAGTATGTATATATTTGCGCGTAAAATTTTTATTATCTGAATGATAGTTTTAAACATGTAACATCTAGATTACTTTCTTTCATAGATCATTTAATATAATTTTTACCTCAATGACCAGCTGATAGGCATTAACAACACCTTCTCTAATATCCTGCGGAGGATGTATAGGCGCTCGGCCCCGGCGAGTTCTTTTTTTTCCTGATCGAGAACCGCGTTTAACACTTGGTCCAGGTGATACCATGTCAAAAGCAGTCTCGGCTGTTGCCTAAAAATAGAATATTATAATTGTAAGAATAATAACGTTATAAAATAAGTAAGAGAAAGATACAAACAAAACGCAGAAGTTTAAAAAAAAGTAAAAACCTACCTGGATCAAATGAATGATTCTTGTCGTAATTTGCAGAGCTGCTAAAGCTGTGCAGGCAGTGAAACTATTAGCACCTCTCTGTAGTCCTCTGACAATGCGGCCATCTTTTTGATATTGTTCAATTGGAAGCCAGAATAAATCGCGAATGCCTTGGACTTCATATAAATAAACAACAAGTCAAAAACATATTAAAAAGATGAAAATTTTAAAATATATTTAAACTTTAAAGTATTTTAAAATTTATGAACTCACACAATTGAACAAACGAATGAATAGGTCCAATTCCACCTAACAGTGATGGCAATTGACGTTTTTTTATATCTTGCAGCCACTGTTGCATGAGGAAGTTCATGAGTTTATCAATGCCCAAAATGCCATGCTTGTGAGTAATTCTTTTTAAAGTTAGTTCTGAACATTCCAGTTGACCTAAGCCCATTAATAAACCTGCTAACGGTCCATGTGAGAGTTCCACTCGCTTTCCATTGTAATCTAACCTTATAGGCACATCGGGACTAAAAATTATACTTCTGAAATATATTGGCACGTTTTCACCACTTAAAGTATTTATTTTTAAATCAATATCCTTTCGCTCATCTTCCACTTGATCATCTAATAAGAGCATTAAATTTTCAGAAACTAATTTTTCAGGATCAGAAATAATTGTTGAATCTTCAATGGTCATAATAGGTATTTGATGTGTGGGTGTTGAATGACGAGACGTTGGTGTACTTGAAGGATCTACTTTAGATTTACTTGTTTCTATTGGAGACCCACTCAATTCACTAAAGAACTGAATTAAAAATAGCAAGGTATCTTGATCAATATTAAGTCTTAAAGGTAGTAAAGAAATGCGCAAACTGCATTCCTGTGCTGCCTGGTGCGGATCTGGGCGCATATGTGTTGCTTTAATTGTTATCATATTTGCATGAGATTGTCTTGGTCGCTGTTCACTCGATTGCTGATACAGCAATTTATTAATTTGAGAAACTTCAAGACGATCTCTAACTTCTAAATCGCCAATTAAAAGAACCTGCCGAGATGCATAATTGGTTTGATCTGGGTAAGTTTCATGTGTAAATCTTACTTTATTTACATGAACTTCTACCAATACGTTTTCTTTACGATTGCTGCCATTGCTTTTCTTAAGCACTTTAGATTTTCCATAGACATCATCACGAATTATGTTTATATTCTTAGAACCAGATACTTGGTATCTCACAGAATTATTACTAATATTTTCGTCTATAGTAACCACCTTTCGTTTACTAGACCCTACTGCTGAACTTTGTTCAAAATCATTTCCACCATACATAAACCAAGTAAATGTAACCTCACATAAGGTATACCGAAAGAGAGCCATTGGAAAATCACGTGGAGCTTTTAAAAAATCAGTCTTTGATGTGGGTATAGTAAAATGGTTATCTACTATATGAAATGGTTCATTAGTAAGCCATCGCACTTTCGGATGGCCATTTTTCGGATAAACCCCCACACCGGATTCGTCGCCAACGATGCAGAAATCATCACCCGTCGATAGTTTCTTCTTCTTATCAATTTTAGCCATATTATTTTTGGAAGTAGATGTATTGGTTTCACATTGTTCGACATTAGACAATTCTAAAATATAAATATATTTATATAACCAATATTTAAAAGACAAAAGTTTTTAAAATTAAAAACCAAAAAGTCAGATGAACGATTTTGAAATGATATATAGATTTATACATGAGGTAAAATTTAATTTAATGCATAGTTTATTTCGTTACATTAGTCAGAGTAGAGTAAAATTAAAATAAAAAGTAAACAAAAACCACAAAATTTTAAAATATCTATTATTTGATAAATAGCCCATGAACTTATTAAAAGTGAAAAACATGATTTAAACAAAAAAACATTATTTTTTTAATTGTTTTTGTATTACACTACGTTTATTTTGTTAACTATAATAAATTTAAATTAATTAGCACTCACTTGGCTCTTTCGCTTCATCTGGAAAAAAAAACACCTCTACACCTTTTGGTACAATATCCGATTCATTTTCTGTTGTTGAAACTCTCAAGCTTTCTAACATAGCTTCAGCCATCAGCTCATTAACTTTTTCTTCTAATTTTTTGGACTGAGCAGTAGGCAAACTTTGACCATCTTCCAACAAAATTTCATCACCTATAATATTAATTGATGAAGACAGTTATTATCTGATTTGATTTATATGTTCATTGAATTTTCAATTTTAAATATATAAAACAGATCTAACTACATCCTTTTATATGAAAAAGTAATTTGTTATTACTTACTTGGTTGTACACAAGCTGGCAACGAAGTTGGATCTTGATTGGTGGACTGAAGATCACCTTCTTCAGCTATATAAGCAATAAGATGAGCTAATGCTCTGCCACTGTCTGCACAAGTTTTAATTAGCAGAGCATTATTTGAAGCACGAAGATCTACTCTAGGGCAATTTTTAGTACCCTAGAATTAAAAATGTTTGAATAAACAGAACAGATTGTTTAACTAATTTTCATTATCCCTAAATTAAATTTTTTTAAATAATAAATTGTTGAGAGCAAAAGAAAACAATCATATCTAGAAACAAAGATGTATTACCCTAAATATTTTATTCATTAACCTGTTAAGAATTAATACATATCTTATGGTGTTACCTTCTCATTGAGCCTCAGAGACAATTCAAATAACCCAAGTTCTACAACAGTAACATAAATTAAATCTTTAAGATTAAGTTTAATATGGTTTGTCGATAAATGATTTAAATCAGCAAGTTGTAATGTGCAATCCTCAGCCATAAACCTCAAATTAACCCCAGTGCTTTGAGCTATAATGTTACTGCTCATTGAAAACATTCCAAGTGTTACTCGGGCACGTAAAGGCAGATGTAAGGGTCTACAAAGTTTCAAAATTACTGCATTCATAAGAAATATATGTGAATAAAATATTATTAATGTCTTAGAAATATAAGTGTGTCAAAATTGTATAATCATTTTTCCACAATTTTTCATTGCAGAAAATTTATGATTATATACCTGTATTCTACTGCTGAATCCCAAACATGTAAATGTATTTCAGTAATAACATTAGAAGGCTCGTACCCCTGAACTGGAAGATCCTTCAGGAACAAAAAATAAACTGTGTTAAATATATGGTCTATTGATAGAAATTTTTAACTAGTTTCAAGTGGCATTTTGCCTCAAGATATAAGTTGCATGAAATTCCCGAAATGTGAAAATAATCGACTCAATAAGAAATCAATATATCAAGTTATAAGTAGGCCGAGTTGCTGTAGGGTTACATAATGTGAGAAACTATTGCAGATTATTCAATTAAGTAGTATTATCTAAAATCGCAGGCGGTTAATGCAAATTTTAATTAAAGATTATAATTGAACCACTTTTAGTATTACATTAAGACTATAAACTCTTCACCATACAAAGATTAATTAAAATCGTCGATTTTTTTTAAACATTCAATTACAAAGACTGAAACAGCACCTTTTCTAAATGATATCTATCGAATAGCTTTAAATAATCCAATAATTTCATTTCAAAGGATCAGAATTTTAAGCTGAATCGTAAACAAAAATATTTGCACCTTTCTGCTAATTTTAAAGAAACGGCTCAGCCGATCATATAAAAAAAACTAAGCATTGTAAATGCTTATCCAGTATCATTGATTGGTTTGTAAACTTTTGAAATTTGTTCAACCGTGTTGGGGAAAAAGATGATAAAATGTATAATTTTGACTCATGTCAAAAAGTGCTGCTAATTTTTTCAAACTTCATGAATTTTAAAATTGAACGGATTGCCGTAGGGCCGTAATATTTTAGTATGTTCTTTAACTCAATAATCACTTTAAAGAAAAAGAAACAGAGAAGTACATTTTTATAATGCAGCAAATAACACAAAAATTTTTGTGCTACACATATAGTGAAATGGAATATTGTTCAAGATACTTTTGGAACAATTAATTATTTAATTATTTCAAATTTTCTGGGCGCCAAGTAGTTCAATCACATAGATTTAAAGTTACAGAGTAAAAAGAATATTTTTGGAAAAAAAATTACCTGAACATCAAATAAATCAATTAATTGTGTGAGCCAGGTGTGAGCAGGTGGTGCTGATCTATGCATTAGCATTGCTTCCTGAACTCCTATAGCAGTGCATATATGCTAATAAAAAAGAAAAAAAAAAAGAAAATGAATAAACATCACTAAGTAATCAACTTAACTATTTCTAATACAGATAAACTACATGTATACCTTCAATTTAGATTCATGATTTGCTTGAATCTTTAAGGCTACAGTAACCATATCTCTAGAATCAATATCATCAAGATCTCGATAGTGGTGCTCAGAATCAGGCAGAATTGTTTTTTGGATATAGCTAGGTAGGGAACAATCAACTAATCGTAAAGCTTGTGAAGTTTCTGGTATTGAATGTAACCCTAGTTAAATAGGAATTAATTTTTAATTTGAACTTGTATATATATATATATATATATATGTATATATATATATATATTATGTATGTATGTATATAATATAAAATATATTTTATAATTACCACTATGATATATTTCCGTATCTTTAGCTTGAACGCAAACAAAGCCAAGTTCTGCATTACCATTGAAACCAGATACAGAAAACATTGATAGCTCACCAGTGCGAATAACAAATTCACCTTGTTGTCCAGGAATGACATGATTGGCAGTATCCTAAGAATTATAAAATATTGAAAACAATTTAATAAGTAAATTATAAATATATTATATAAATATATTAATTATAATAATTATGATGAAAGAATTTATTCTTTAACTATTTTGAATATTATATATTTAGATCCATTGAGTTCTGATATTTATATTCACAGAGTTTTAAAAATTCAAAAAGAAAGTTTGATCAATCCAAGTGTAATAAAAACTTACTCTGACAGGTGCACACATGGTGAGTAATCCTTGCTTTATATCCAAATTGAAACTTATATTATGTTCATTACATGAATTCAAAGTTTTACGATCACACACAGAATAAAATACTGATTGGAGGCCACTGTTTGAATCCGAGTCAGACTCATGCGTACTGCTTTCTGAATCTGAGATGAAATATGTAAATAATACATAAAATCCTTTCATTTTAGAGACATGAATAATTAATATTAAATAATTGAGTGATCATAATATTTCTGCAAATTAAATGACAATGTTATAGTGTGACTTGTGAATAATAATTATTATTACTGTAGTATGTTCATATGATAATGCTGCAAAATGTAAGATCATATAAAATAGATTCAAATAAAATTTTCACTTTTTAGTAAAAATAATTTAATAATATGTTACCATAATGTATACCACTCTTGCACAAAGAAAATATTGGTATATCCTGCATAATGCTGCCAGTACAAGCAGATGAAATAAAAGATGCACATGGTTCCCATAACAAGAGATCTGTATTTATATGATTGTAAATTTTTTCATATATGTGTTTTGAGCTAAAAATAAAGAAATGGCAAGCATGAGTTTATACCATTAATAATTAAAATAAGTGGCAATTGAATTTAATAACTTAATTTTAAATTACCCTAAATGAATTGATACATATTGTAGTGACAGCTCAATTTGCATTAAAGAATTTGATTTTGCAGCTTCGCTAAATTGTTTCATTTCCGATCTTGTTCCGGGGATTACAAGTTCATCAGATTCACCTAATAAGTGCCAAAATTTTATGATATAATGCATATTTTAAATTGAATAAATTTTTATTATCGATTTAAATAATTAATATTACCTATATGTGAAGTGTCGCTTCTGTGTATCATTCTTTTAGCACTAAATGGTGACGGATCCTTGATTTCCATATTATTTTTAAGAGCACCGCCTATAGAGGCTAGCATGGGATCTATAGTAGGAAGATCACTATCACTTGAAGATTCCAAAGAGAACTTTTGCTTGGAAGGATGCACTTCTAATACAAATCTGGAAAAACATCCATGGCATAGAACGGCAGGAAGTATTTTTCATTTGTGTTTACAATTGCATAATTACTCTAGATAAATAATATAAAGAAGATTACCACACAACAAACCTTGGCCAATCTGTATCATTCTCTATATTTACTTTTGAAGTTGTAAGCTTGCCCTTTGAACCAGCATGAGCAATAGAAATCCTTTTATTGCATTCAGCCTCCTATTAAATAAAAATATGATAATTTACTTCTTAAGTATAAACAATGATTAATAATAAACTATCGCAAAAAACATTATAAATAATCAATTCGAGAACCAGTGGCAGATTTATTAATAAACCAACCATTTTATTTATAATTCCATGTTAGCCCAAATTAACAATTTAATAAATAACTTTAGCAAACTGCGTTACCCCGACATACAAGTTTAATACGTTTTGTAATCACTATCGTATATCGAATTGCTCGTTTCTCAAAGCAATTTTTTGCAAACAATTACATTGAAGTTTCATTAATTTGTTCCAGTGCTGTGGTTTTTGTTAAATTGTTTAAATGAAGAAAACTAAATTTGTTTTTATTAATTTTTTCCCCTGCCCATTCATGATATTGCAAAAATGAGTTAAACATATTTAATTGAACAACTATCAATGCTGAAACTGTATAAACTTTTAGTAGTGATTTTCATACACATACGTTTTAAGGTCAGAAAGCTGCTTATAAATCAATAATCATTATAAGGTCCTTAGCTGGAGTTATACCATTTATCAATTCCTTATGTTTAAACAAAGAACATATCTATGATGTGTCATGCTAGTACATTTTCGTCATCCTTATATTTTACAATAATTTCACATTTTAATAGAAAAGACATGGCTCTTTTATTTAGACCTTTAGGTTATAAAAATAAATATTTTGTAAACATAGAAAAAGCAAAAATGCGAACTCAACATATTTAACTGTACAATCACTATTGATGTATAGTCATAATTTCGAACGTTAAAATAATCCTCGATATATTTGCGTGCGTAAATTACTACGCTATTATATTATAAAAATATTATAATAAAAATAATAATAATTTGCTATCATAAGACCGGCAAAATATTAAATCATTGTTGGTTTATCATTCAGTAAATATCAAATCATTGTTGGTTTCAGTATAATCATTTTCAATTTGTCAGAGCTTCTGTCTCCAATTTTGCTCCTATGTCAAAGCAAACGAACATTCGTATGTCAGGTCACTCGTAAGTCGAGATTGCTGTGTTTTTTTTTAAAACGATTTTTTATATTTTTTATATTTACGGCCACTATTAAAAATTGATATGTTAAATAACAAATAACCTGAAACTTACAACATAATCTATAAAGACCTCTTGACATTGTAGTTCATATCTGAGACCATTATTTGCAATAGAGTTAATTTTTCCACTAGTTTGTTTAAGTGTTATAATTGCATAGTCCGAGTGAATATTGCGATCCCACCACGGTGGTCTCAATGGATCATGTTTAGGCCTAAGATCAACAACTGGAAATCTATAAATAAATATTCATACATAAGCTCTCCCTCTCCCTCTCTCTTTATATACCAGAACTCAACGTCCACCCAGAACTCATTGATCACAACTATATGAAAAAATGAAAGTTTTCATGAAACTTGCCACAACAACTTTAGTACATTTTTTTAAAAAAGAGAGCATATAAAAATAGAGCAGTTTTAATTAAGTTTTGAAAACTTGGAGCAATTACGTCAATATTTTTAGTTTTGGTCCTAAAAATGTTATTTACGATTACAGATCCAAACTTTATATGAATAAAATCAATAAAAATTAACCACAATAACTGAAAATGGTCAAGGTTCGCCAAAGCTCTAGGTTGCACTCAAGAGCTGATACATTTCAAACTACATGAAAAAAGAATTTTTTGTAATTTTTTCGTGATAGTAATTAGGGAATGCAATACCGATAGAAAATTTCAATACCTGTATTTCAGTAATTTTTCATTTTAAAACCGGAATACCGGTAAATTATCGGTATTTTTATTATCTTCGACAAACGTAAACAAATTGAAAGTTACTAGTACAAATAAAACTAAACAATAAAATAAAACAATAAAAATTTATTTTAAATAATAATTTAACAAAAGTATATGCAATTTAATAATTCATTATCACTATCTAGTATATTGAGTACTTTTCACCAAAACAAATGTATGAGTGAGAAAGACCAAAAACTCATAAAGATCATATTACATTATTATAATAAACTGTGCTGTCTGTATCCGATGTGTTAAATTAGCATAATCTCCAATATTTTTCAAAAAATAATTTTTCTACACTAATTTAAGATCGGATACTTTGTCGAGATTATTTAGTAATTATCATAATTGTTACGTATAAAGTTAGAAACGAATAAAGATTACGCAGTATGATATAAAATATTTTGGCGCAAATATCACTTAAAGAACTGTTACATTTTTACAAAAGATGAAACAAACTGAATTATCTATCAGTCCTATTCTATTTATTGTAACACGATATGAAGCCCTTTGGAAAGCAATACATATTCAGATTAATGACGAGTTGAGAAAATATTTGACATTTGTTTATATTATAGAAGCACGTGAAGATATAGCTGTTAATGCGATTATTGTATTTAAAGATAAATTTGTTCTGAGAAATTTAAACATTAGGGTCTTATGTATCAAATAGTGCTTATGTAAAATTACCGAAAATACCGGTATTTTTCGAATAAATACCGGTAAAAATACCGCCAAAAAATCGGGCGGTTTACCGGTAATTCGGCATACCGGTATTGCATTCCCTAATAGTGATGATCAATACTATCGCCCTATTTCGACTCGACGTCGAGTTCTAAGATATATACACACACACACACACACACATATATATATATTTATATATATATTTATATATATATATATATATATATATATCGGATATATATATATATACAAATAAAAAAAGAGATTATTAAAAGTATAGCAAATGTGTATAACAGTTCCTCTCTGTTAAAATCCTATTGTATTCTATTATATTAGTTATTCTAAATACTTGCCTAAGTTTTACTTGAATTTCATCACAAATCAGCTTGAATTCACTACACTGTCCGGGTTTATATAATGTCAACAGAGCTTTGCTTCCTCATCGAAATATTTTTGAAGTTGTCCAAATAGGAGTTATGAACAATGCTGATATCCTGTCTATAATGGTTATATCCACCTCACAAGAACATGGTTCCAAGGATATACTGCCCAGAAAATTAAATATTAAAAGTAATAACAAAAAACAGTATTTTAAATTTTTACAAAACATTCAGCACAAGAATTTTAAGCAAAAATTCAAGCTTTAACAAACACTATAGGTGAAATTAATACTATTAAGTTCCAAAGTGCTCTGTATAAAATGTGAAATATATTTATTCACCTCAACTCAGACCGAGGAAATTTTCTGTGACCTCTATTACTTAAACTTGATGAAGTTGATTTTTGGAGCATCTTGAATTTCATTTTGAGCTGTGGTTTTGTGATAAGAACCACGTGACCTAATTTATTCAGTTGTGAAAACTCTATAAGTGGAATTAAAAAATCAGTATTTTTTTGTTTAGGTCTTAATTCATGCAAAACTAATTTTGCAGCGGTAGCATCGATTTCTAGAAAAGACCCACTACCACTTTTTCTCTCGTGACCTTCTACAATCACAGGCGCAGCAAGTAATCTGGAAAGAAGCATTGAATAAATATTTTATAAAAAATAATAATGAAAATAGTGTAATCAAAATAAACTTCTCAGTATTTCTAATAATAAGACTCCTTCATTAGCATGATATATACGAGTACTTTGCTAACAGAATGTTACCTTATATGATTGAGTCCGCAAGCATTATTGAATAACTCTATAGCTTTTGAAAAATCTTTAGAACCAAAAGCTGAATATAATCCCATAGTCTGAAAAAAGTCTTGAGACAATGTTCGTAATTGCTCTATGCTATTTCTGCATAATCTAGTTTCTTCAATATTTCGGAGTCCTGTTGATGTGTTTAATACATCCTTTAACAAAATAAGGAAATATAAAAAAATGAAAAAATATATTTAGAAAAATATATTATAAAAATATTTTGCATATATATATATATATATATATATATGTGTATATATATATATACAGTAGTACCCCGAAATACTTGTTTAATTTATTCTGCTTGTATATTGAATCGTTTCGTATCTCGAAGCAATTTTTCCTGTATAAATAAATTGAAATACCATTCAAGCACTGTGTTGTTTGTTAAGTTTTCTGAATACTTAAAATAAATTTACTATAGTTATAATAACTAATTATAATTATAGTTATTAATTTAAATATTGTTTTTTTCAGTTCATTCATGATATTGCGGAAATGAGTTAGACATGTTTTGTTAAAAAAAACTCCCATTCTAAAACAGTTGCAACTTTTTTCGGGATGGTTTTTATAAACAATGCTTTCGAGCTCTAATAATGTGTTACGCCTGTACATTATCGCCATTCTCATTTTTTTCAATATTTTCGCGCTTCAATATAAGAGACATGGCCCTTTTCTTGAACCCATGGTTATAAAAGTAAATATTTTGTACATGTACACAAAGCAAATAGTCATCATATATTACTGTATAATCACTATTAATATATAGTTTCTGAACTATTAAACTATTAATATATATTTCTATTATAGAACAGCCAAAATATTTCTATGACAGGAAAATCATTATTGAAACTGACAAAAGTTTACATATTCGTCGCCAAACTCTCCTTTGACGGCTCGTATCTTAAAACACCCGTATCTTAGGTCACTCGTAAGTTGGGGTACTACTGTATACCATATTTTATATGCAAATTACCTCATGTAAAATTATTACTGCAAGTGAAGCTAGTCGAAAGTTATAATGTGAAATTTCATTTCCATTTTCATTGCCCACATATACTCCATCTAAGCTCCCTTCATATAAAATGCTAATCAATTAAACCATTTTCTATTAAGTTTGAATTATGTAAAATATTTAAAAATTTTATATGGTTATTTAATTTAAATATTAATATAATAAGAATAATATGGTAGCCATGCCTTGAATGAAAGATATCACAATATCTTACCAGACCTATTTTAATATAATTAACAATTCAAAAAATACCTTTTGGTTTATTTTGATTACTCAACCGAGAACTAGTTTGGCTTATGCTAGAACCAATAGAGCTCGTCATTGACAGTGTACTGTTATTTGACATAATAGAGTCTGACATACCAAATCCTCGAAATGGTTGAAATTCTGGATCATTATCTCCTTCATCATCTAAAATTAACATGTTTGCCAAAAATATCTTACATATCTAAGAAAGTTAAATGTTAATAATTTATATATCTACATATATTATTATTCACAATTGTTACTGGGTAAACAGTCTAATATAAAAAACGCCCAGTTTAGTAAAAGTATCCAGTTTTAACAAAGTTTTAAAAATCAATTACCTATTTGAGCTGCAGACCACCTATGAACATTAGAGATACCAGATAAAACACTCTGTGGCGTTTTAAGTCTTGCTTGTAAGTCCTCTTCAATCAATTTAAAATGTGCTGAAGTCATTGGTTTTGTAATCAGCCCTCGGCCAGATTTGCCACTAAAATAATATCCTTGATAATGATATAAGATCAATATAAAATTCATTAAATTTTGAAATTAACTAATATAAAAATGCACACCTTATATTATCAGATTCTGGATTGCTCAAGGCAGATAATATTTCAATTAATGCATGTAGTTGCCTCGGAGTTTAAAAAACACGTTAAAGAGCCCAAAGAAACATCAAGTTGTACTTTTGGACCGACAATAAACTCCGATTGCTTCTTTTAATTTTAATTTGGATTTCTTGTCTACCAAGAAGTTGACCAAACAATATGGGTTCAGGAGATGTATCTAACTCATTATTAGAAGATAACTCTTCACGATCTATCTTGTCTTCTTCTCCGCATTCTTTTGTCGTGCTTTCTTTTAAAATTGAATTCATTTCACAACTGAAATATATATCGTTTGTGGATTGTAGGTTTGTATTGTCATTAATGATACTATCACTTTGTGAAGTAAAGCTTTGCTTCTGTAATAAATGTTCTTCTTCATCATATTTCAAAATGTCTTCATTTGAGAAAAAAGAAACTCCTTCAATGACAATGTGTCGATTTGTAAAAGATGAGTATACATATTTTTTGTTTTCTTCATTATCATCATTTGAAACATCTGTACCAGCTTCATCAAAATATTCTAAACTAAAATCACAATAATTTTTTAATACAGAATCCCATTGATAATTTTTTTTTAATATATCAAAGTTTACTAACTTTTTTATATTGATTTGTAGAGTGAGGCAATTATTCCCATTATTTGGACAATGTTCTAGCTTTATAATGGAGTTAGTTAAACGTACTTTTATTCTTGTCAATACTAAAAAAAATCTTAAATTAATATTAAATATTGTAACGTTAAATAAACATAGCACAAAATTAAAGTTTACTAGAGTCAATGGTTTGTGCGAAGTGTTCTAGCCCCTCTAAGGGTTGTCCCATTGCTGATACAGAAATTCCTTCCTTTTCCAAGCAATCTCTTGCGAGTTGCATAGAGCTTGACATAGAAGACCACATTGATTCAAGTACAGATGTTCCTAATATGTAACATGACTGTTTAATCATATTTTATAATAGCTTAGGCTTAAATTAATGACATTTCATACCATGATCAATTCGAGCTTTAGGGCGAATGGTGACTACTAAACCAGAAACATCAACAAAACTGTCATCAGATAATGGAGCACTCCAGGGAATACTGACTGAAACTGATGCAACATGACCCTCAAGTATTTCTATTGGCAGTCCTTGACTAGTACACAATTCGTTAATAGCCTGTATAAATAATTTAAATATATATATATATATATATATATATATATATACATATATATATATATATATATATATATCTTGGGGATTTTTTGTTCGACGTTGAAACATATCATCAATATAAAATAAAGAGGCATACATCAAATAAAAGGCAAAGATTTAGAAGTTAATCTTTAATTTTTCCAAACGTTTCGACATAGTATTTTATGTCATCATCAGTGGATATAAATATGGTCTTACATCAGTAGCTAGCGCAAGGCACATAATTTTGCACTATTATATATACACTAACTTGTTTTTTTTATTATTATTTTGTTGAACAGAGCATAGCAAAATATTTGTGAAATATATAATATATTTTGCACAGAGAACGTAGTTTATGTGACCGAGCCCGAGGCTGTAGTCTATATATATATATATATATATATATATATATATATGAGTAAGTTCTTCAAGGGCATACATCAAATAAAAGGCAA